CAATATACCACGTAACACCCTTGAGCGCTTAGCTTTGGAGCGGGTAGAATGGGGTTCACTGTGTTTTAGTGGACTCAGCAATTTTCAATTCTGCTTGTCTGACTCATATTCAAGAAGCGAGAGCAAGATCTAAAAGGTCACCCAATCTAACAGTGATTTTATTTCACAATCCTCACACAGTGACATTTTTTATTTTGTATATATATTTTGTGGGGTACATTTTTTCTCTCTGATATTGTCAGTCATTTTCGTATGCCTTGTTTGTTTGCTGACATACATATATGCAAAACATGAACACATGTACATACCTGTAATACATATGCACACATACATATATACATACATATTAGAGCTGTTGGGGACTGTAGCTTTTAAATTAGCAAACTTCAAGTAGGTCCCTGTGCTTTTCTTCACCAACTTGTATTCTGTAATGTGCTATTATTGCTTTTGTAATGATCAGTGAAACAATGTATAGCCTTGGTCTTAGATTCATTGTCTAGAACTGCCAGGTTAGCATAGTCTCAATGCATTTTCTTCTCAGTGAATTCTGTTGACTTCAAGATCCACTTTTATATTTACATATGCTCTATCCCTGATATTGAGCACTTTAACCCATAAATATAGCATAACTTAAAACTATATTTTATCATACATATATATATATATATATATAAATATAAAAAATATATATATAAAAAAATAAAGAAACAAATGAAAACTACATCTACTACTCATTTTCTCCATCAAGTCATTCATTTCTGTAGTTCACTGCTACGAAGAAGCAGAAATTTTTTTTCTCCTGATGATGGCCTGATGGCCAAAACTAGTCAAGGAATCTAGTTGAAATAATAAAAAGGAAAGAATATTGATATACACCCCAGTGTGTCTGAAGATTTTAATGTTTTAATATTTTTATTGTTCAAAACATACACACACATACATACACACACATATATATATATATATATATATATATATATATATATATATATATATATATGAGGAATAAAGACAAAAGGAAAACTTTTCTTGACCAATGTGTTTCATCCACTGAGGAGCTTTATCAAGCTAAATCACATTTACCTTGGTAAAGTCCCTCAGGGGAACAAAATACATAACTTCTATATAAAGTTTAAATAATTCCAAACTATTTTTTCAAACTAGATCCACATTGATTTTCACCACAGGCAAAATTTTTAACTTTTGAATTGTTATAGTGAGAAGAGGCTTGTGAATGCTACAATTTGCCCAAAGTTGATCAGGATGTAAACTTAATTTGAAAGAGGGGGAGATGGAAATTGAAGAAGAAGAAGAGGGGGAATAGGAAGAGGAAAGAGGGGAAAAGGAGAGGAGAGGGAGAATGAAAAAACTTGAACAACAAAAACACAAGACAGAAGCCATTAATAGACTAGCACCAGGTGTGTTCTTTCTTTTCAAGACTAGATTAACACATTGTTTTAACCAACTGTTTCCTCTGGGAATAAAAGGCAAAAATAAATTGAGAAGACTTAGAAGCTCTGGAATATAATAGAGTTTATTTTTTTTTTTTTTTTAATTCTGAGATTATGTATTTCGAAAGAATCTGAGACTGCCCTAAATACTACTACCATAAACACTTCACCATGGAAGATGCAGTGTGATTTTGAGGGTCAAAATTTTAAAAAATAACAGAAACAAAAGTACATCTTATACGGCCCCAAAATACAATATATTGCTAAGAATTTTTAAGTTAAAAACAACAAAGTAGATAATAATTATATCAAAATGATATTACTCAGTTATACTAACAAGACTAATTCCATTACACCATAATGTACATCCAATTTATTATTTACCAATTGATATTCACTTCAGTAAAGGTAACAAAGGAAACCTAGAAAAGAAAGATTAAAACAGAATATATGACCTTTAGTAAAAGAAAGAGCCCAAAATGTGAGCTACAAATTGGACATGTCAGAATTGAACAATTACAAACATTTAACTAACTGGGAAATTCAATAACAAATCATGGAAAATATGACACAGAAATCTAAAAGTGAATTGAAATAGTGAAAAATGCCTTCCAAAAGCTAAATAAAGTATTAAGAAACAGGAAAATTTCATTAGAAGCAAAGAAAAGAGTGCTGAACTGTTATGCAATATCCATCCTCAGTGAATGCTGGACAATTTCCTCACAGTGGAGACTTGAAGCAACAGAAAAAAAAGCTGAGAATAACATGGACGGGGCATGTAAGCAATGAGGAAGTTTTAAGGAAAATGGTAACAAAAAGGACACTTGTACTTAGAATTAAAAAGAGACAGTTGAAATTTCTAGGACACATAATGAGGACAGATGGCTTGGAGATTTTGGCACTCACAGGATATATTGAAGGTAAGAAGAGTAGACAGAAATATATTGAGTAGCCTACCTAATGAGCTTGTGTAAATGAATGACAGAACAGAAACAGGCAGGGATAGTAAGGTGAGAAAAATTGATTAGAACTACAAAGGATAGGAAGTTGTAGAGAGCTATGATCACACATGTCTGAAAAGATATGGTACATAAAAGAAGAAATTCATATAGAACTTATTAAAAATCAGAAGGTATGAAGGCTTCTGGTTTTTAAGGCTTTTAAATAATGTATTATAGTAGACTGATTCCATTATTTACATTATTCGGACTTTTATCCTCATCTTTATCACCATATTTATTACAATGTTTTGGCCATTGTACGCTCCGGCCTTCTTCAGGTGGTTGGAATGCCGAACTGAACCCTTTATTTCACTCACTGGGATAGACTGTTCTAGTTCCACATGCCATGTTTAATGGATGTCAGTTACCAGTTATCTCCTGTTAATTTTCCTCTGAAAGTTCTCCACTGCCTTAACTGGGTATTGAACTCACACTCTTTGGATCCTGTCACTGGATCTAACCAATGCCTTTATCCACTATGCCATGTGTCCTTGATATGGCGACAAAGATGAGGACAATAGTCCAAATAATGTAAATAATGTACATAATATCTCAGAAATATAGACAGATACTAGACTGATTCCTTTCCAATTTTTCTGCATTGGTTCACTGTGTCATGCCAGACAATTCTTCTTGTCAGAATCCATCTTGTACATTTATAAATCCATAATTTATCCATGCATTGAATATCTGGTCTGGTACTCCTGCTATATATCTTGAGATTCTAGACAAAATCCAAAAAAGGATCTGTAATGATCTCTACATGGCATCCCGATTTCATTCACTTTCTCACTGCTGTGACATGGCTTCCCTCTGTCTTTTTTATAAATATTCTCATGGCAGTTGTTCTAATGAACTCTCCTCAAGTAAGTTAAATGCATGAATTTAAGCATACTATTAAAATGGCAACTAGGTCTCATCATTTTATTCTTGATATAGCTACATATAACCATAAGTTCTAGTCTAATAGTTTCTTTTCTTGCACTTCTCACCTCTGGAACTCTTTTCTGGTTTCTTGCTTCCCTGCCAACTACAATCTTCAAAAATTCAAATGCAACACCAATTGCCATTTTATGTCTTCCTGAAATCTGTTCATTTATTGCCCATTCTCCCCACGAAAGTCTTCATTTTCTTCCACTCACAGTAACCCTTTGTATCTTAATGACTTTATTGCCTTACTTGTGGTGAAATGATTAAAAGAAAAATAAGATGCAAGACATGTTGTTTGTGCTGTATCTTTCAAAATGTTCTTTTAAAGTATTGTCTGTTCTTGAGCCCAAAACTTTGCATGCCATTACCAACATATGCTTACCACAACTGCATCATTATCATAAGTGTTAGGAAAACTACCTCCAATGAAGTTGTGAGTGATAATATTATTTCTAGAACTTTCTAGACATGTAGAAATTTCTATATCTGCCTTTTCATACCTCTGTTTTGGTAGGTAGAACATTGTTGTAACCTAGAAAAGCTTACTGAATGAGGAATAACCAAAACGGAGGTTGGAAATGAAATAGTAATCTTTATAACATCAACAAAATACAATACTTGCCAGTGGTATGAAGTAGGTAAACCACTGCTAGTGGCGGACTACTTACTGGACAGCATATTTCCCCCACTTACAATAGTGTCTAATGTATTTATGAGGATTAGGACATAGCCATTAGCATCTATAGGTTTGGTATATAACAAATATACTATCTCATGTTGGCAGAGAGAGAACATCAAAGCTGTTTCAACTTGAAGGCGCTCTCTGCAAATCAGTGTGATATTCTTATCTTCATTATTTTTAGCTGTGATGAAATATAATCACTTAGATACCACCACAAAGTCATATCTTTCCCAAAGGTATTTATGTGAAAGTGAATGTAATGATCTCATCCAGAATTTGAATTTGATTTGCTGATTTCTTATTCCAAGCCTCTAACCATTACACCACCTGCACATCTATAGAGACAGAACAAAGGGAGATAAATATAAAAATGAATGAACATGAATGCCATATTAAATGCATAACTGAAGTTGTGAAAGAAGGAACAGCAAACAAGACTCATAACAATAAGATTTAGTACTTGTCTAGTTTACACTTGCATTTTCTTAGATTAAATATTAAGAGCAAACAGTGTCAAATCTACACTTTATATTCATTCATGATTTACAGTAAAATAAAGTAAAAATTATTATTTTTTGCAAGCAGTTTTTATAAATGTAGGCATGAATCATCATCATGGCTTAGCTTTGCAAAACAAAGCTCAAGAGGGTGTCTGTACATGTCACTTGCAGGCATATTTGTGACTAATAAGTCCAATGCAGGACAGGCATACATGATCACAGTAGTTGCAGTAGTTGGGCTTGATGGCATAGCATTGCAGTACTTCCTCCTCTGCCTCTTGTCCCTGAGAGCATGGCACGCATAAGCAATAAAGAATGAAGTCAGCTTCAAAGACATTTTCCTCTAATATTATGCAAAAGATGGTAGTGAAAGAGTTTGGATCAGTTTAATAAAAGGTTGAAAAATAAAGTAATAAACTTTCTTTTCCACTCTTACCGGTCATAATCAACTACTTTTATAATTAAGTAGATGTCTTCTACATTTTCTTGGGGGACGTCAAATACAATTGCTTCATTGTACACAGGCTTCAAGGTGCTCCTTTTTACACTTGTCTTTCTTTTTCGAATCCGCTTTCCTTGACACATCATGGCTACCTTCACATAAGGATCTGTAATGAAACATACAGTATTAAAGCAAATGTGTGGGGCTAGTTCTTTCAAGTTTGAAAAGCTCAAAGAATGAAATATATTGATTCTGTAGAGTTGAGTAGTACTTTTAAATGTTTTATTTGGGTTTTACAAAAATAACATAGGGCAAAGGAGTTTTATTATGGAAATGCATTACCAATTGGGTTTTACTATAGAAATGCATTACCAATTGGGTTTCACTATAGAAATGCATTACCAATTGGGTCTTACTATAGAAATGCATTACTAATAGGGTCTTACTATAGAAATGCATTACTAATAGGGTCTTACTATAGAAATGCATTACTAATAGGGTTTTACTATAGAAATGCATTACTAATAGGGTTTTACTATAGAAATGCATTACTAATAGGGTCTTACTATAGAAATGCATTGCTAATGATTATATAATTGCTTTGCTTATAATTTTTATTATGGAAATGCACTAAATGAATTTTACAATAGAAATGTATTACAAGGAGTTTTACTATAGAAATTCTTTGCAAGGAGTAACTTTGCATTGTAGAAATGCATTGACAATAAGTTTTAATATAGAAATGGAAATGTGTAAATACGTATACACACACACATACATATATATATATTGATCTGCCAACATGCATACAACATTGGCTGATATTGTGGGATGGAGATTATGCTTTTCTAAAGATATTGATCATTTTATACATTTCTACTTTCCATGCTGACAACTGCTATGCTATACACACATTCACTTTAAATGTGCCAGACAATATAAAATAACTACTTATTTGAAGTTTACTTTTAATTAGCAACTCATCTTCTTGTTTCTGCTACAAAGAATACCAGTAATTCAAGCATATAATAGGAGATATATTTCCCTATTACTCAGCTCAAACTCCTCCCTTATCTTTTGAACAGGAGTAGAGTTTTACTCCTTGTTTACTGTTTAGGATTGGGTTTTCAGTCCTTTCTCCTAAAGTCTCCTTTCACTCCCAGTAACCTTGGCATTTTAGTGGCATTATCACCTTGTTTAGGGTGAATTGATTAAAAAATAAAAATGTGTGAGATTATATATTTGGAAATGATTCATAAAAGAAATTTCCAATCTACTGTTCAATTTTAACTGGAAATTTTTTTTTTGAATTACAAAAATTTAATTCTGTTTTTTGACTGGTGTTTAAATCTTTGAACATTTTTTTATTTCACTGATAAGTATTTGAGAAAATGTATTATTATACAGTAAATGCAACATGAACTGCTATCGTCTACTTTCCTGAACCCTGTTCTTTTATTGTCCTTTCTTCTCACTAATGTTTTCTCATTTTCTTTCACTCTCAATAACTCCATGCATCTTAGTGGCATTATCACCTTGCTTGGGATGAAAATCACTTATCTCCAAACTTGTTTGCTAAAAAATGACTAAGAGGAATGTTTAACATATTAGGTTGAGTCATAAGTATTTTTCATTTTTGTGAACCAATTGTAATGACAAATATATCATTCTAACTACTAATCATGCATAAAAATTAAGGATAAATACACTAACATATCTTAGTTTTTGCATGGCAGTGTACACAGTGGATTAACAGAAAAATTGTTATTCTGTATGACAACACAAGGCTGTATAAATCAAGAATAACACAAGAAAAGATTTTGGAACTTGGTTTGTTCTATCCTACCTACCATATTCACCTCACCTTGCAACAAACCAATTTTTTTTTTTTTTTGATTACTTTCATGGGGAAATTTTATTTAATGAAAACCAGATTAAGAGTTAAATCAAAAACTGTTTCTCATAAAAATTTGCATAATTTTACTCAAAAGGTTTTAAAGAGTGGCCTGATAAGTAGCAAAAAGTCATTGAAAATAACAGTGAACATATAATTGAATAAAATATAATTGTGCGCTGTTTTTTGAAGAATAAAGTTAATAAACAAAAAACGGAAATTATTTATGACTCAACTTAATAATTCATCCTAACAAATCAATTTTTCAACAAGGGACACTGGTAAGTATCATTCATTATATTCTGTGATGACTAAAATGTAAAGAAATTTGTATTATGTTTATTTAACCCCAAAAAACAGAGGCTTCTTCCAGATGAACAAAAAATAAAATGTAATGTTGAATAAATAATGTCCAGACCTGAGGATCCAGTTATGTCCATAGCTTTCAAGTTCCTGGCTTTAATTATTGTCACAGTCAAACGTCCAGCTGTTGGGAGGTAACACAATGAGACCATCAGCTCTCCAAGATCAGCCTTTTCCTGAAAAATATATCAGTTTTGAAACTACAGAAGAAAATATAAACACAGAGAAGATACATACTTGTCTTATGATCTTATCTATATTTAAATATATTTTAAAATGGTGCATATACGCATACATAGACGGTTTTTTTTTGGTTTTTTTTATTGATTGAAGTAGGACTGGGATTAATCTCACACAAATCAGGGTGAGTCGTGTTTGTCAAACAATTTGTTAATGATGATTTGGCAAGGTTTTAGAAGGCTGCTGCTCTTCCTGAGGCCCAACTCAGACACTCATGGTAGTCCAAGTACACCAAGTGTTTTTATTGAGACACTGACATCATCTCCAGGATGGTTGCTATTCAAGGCTTAAGACCCCATCCTAGCCTTATATATATATATATATATATATATATATATATATATATATATAAACTGTTACATTGGAACATGCAAGTTACCATGACAAAAATGCATATTTGCTTTGATGTCTAATTAGACATCTTATCAGGTGGTTAACATTGGTGATAATTACCACCTGATGAGATATCTAATTAGATATAGAAACAAATATGCTTTTTTTTGTCATGGTAACTTGCATGTTCCAATGTAACAGTTTATAATAAATATCTATTGCTCTACTCTGGTATTCAGCCTTTTTTTAAATTAATATTATGAACGTTTGAATTTATATTCTTTTACATTTGGACACACACACACACACACACACACACACACATATATATATATATATATATATGGGAGAGGTAAAATTTTAGATATAACTAATAATTTTGTATATCTGTTAAAGGACAATATGAATAAAGACAAAAAAACGAAAAACTTAGATGAAGTGTTTTGTCCTCTGATGGACTTTATTAACACAAATATAGGGATTTTGCAACAAGTATTTAGTTAGCCTGATGTGTATTTATTGACATTCTTAAATTTAGAAATTTTGAAAAACTAACAACATTTGTACTTTTTATTAATAAATACTTACTGCAAAATAAAATCTTTAAAAAGATAAGTTTTACTTTTGTCTTTATTCACATGTATATTGGGAATTGGTTCCTATAAGAAGCTCATCTGGCCTTTGACAGGTCTTGTTTTTTGTCCTGATGGGTGACATGCTACCTTCCTCACCAGCAGAAAAGCTAGTGGAATAGATGGTTTAGATGTCAACCACCTATCCATGTGGCAGATAGTATTGGGTTACATTTTACCAGTAGTAGGACTAAGCGTGACCTGACGTAGTGAAATTTCATATTCATTTCGGTTTTGTTTTAATACAGGTATTTCTGTATTTTTGACAGTCATGCATTGCATATGCATTAATTGAACTTCATCATACTTATATATTAAATCTTATAAAAGATAACCTTCAAGAAAACAACCATTACATAACTGATACACAAATTAAAACTTGTGCAGAAAATGTCTTGATACATAGTTAATTTGCATTCAATATTAGAAATTCTAAAAGATAAAACATTTTGGCTGAAAAGTTAAAAAAAATTAATTTCAGGAAATTAGTGACTATCTCCATCTCTTCCGTTCCATATAAATTTGCAATCTCTACACTTTGATAAAAAAAAATGACCATCCTTTAATGACTGACCATTTAGTCTTTCCTAGGAGTCTAACTTACAACAAATATAAGCATTTAAAAAGTTTTGAAGGGATGAGAAATTCTATGATATGGCAATTTTATCTCTTGTATGGTTCAAACATAAACTAGATACACTTTTGAATTCTAAAAGATCAAATACTCTATTTTATGCTGTCATTATTATAAAAGAGGAGGCAAAGTTTATACTTCATGCCAGCACCCACCAAAAAAAAAAAAGAAAAAAAAACAGTATGTCAAAAGGAAAGTTTACCTCTTGACACTGTTATTATTATATTCTACCTTCACTCCCTCAGTAATGTTTGCTTAAAAAAATCAATGATTAGAATTTTAATTTTTTTTAATTTAAAAATTTACTAAATTATAAAAATATGTGACTTTAATATTTACCATTTTATAAAGTTTGAATTGATTGATAATTAGCCAATGTTTTGTCAACCATTCCAAAGAATACAATCCACCATCTTCACTAATTGTTTTAGTCAACTTGCTTAATGTCCATTCTTCATTTAAAAAAAAAAAAAGAAAAAAGTAGGAAGGAGGGGAAATAACCTATAATTGCTGGAGTTTCAGGGCTTGGATTTCTATGGATTAGGAATCCTTGACCCAAGATTATGATTATAAAAACTGAAAATTAAAACAAATTTATCTGAAATAATTTGCGAAGAAAATGTATAATGTCTGGAAAAATTATGTTTATTTAAATTTTCTTGTTCTATAGTTAATGGATATTTTTATAAAATTATGAATAAAAAAATTGTTTTCATAGTCATTTATAATATGATAAATAATAAAAATTGCATTTTAGTTGGTTCACATGTTTTGAAAATTTTGTAGATTTTTCATAAATTTTTGAATAAAAAGATTTTTCAAATTTCTTTCTTTTATAAAACGATAAATAATAAATCTTTATGAAATGGTAAATAATCATTTTATGTGCTGTATCCCCTCGGGCAATCAGGGCTCTCCACAATTTCCTGTCCTTTGTAGCTCTTAATAAATTTTGTCTTTTTGTTATTTTTCACGTTTTGCCATCCATTTACTCAAGTTTGTCAAGTATGTTATACATTGTTTTCCTCTGTCCCTTTTGCCCTTAATTTATCCGATGAGTATCAGATTTCCCAAGCCCTCTTTCCTCATTATGTGACCAAGAAATTTCAACTGTCTCTTCCTGATGTTAAATATAAGTTTCCTTTTTGTTTCCATTTTCTCTAAAATTTTGTTGTTGCACAAATGTTCGGTCTATAGTATCCTCAGCATCCTTCTATAGAACCACATTTCTGTGGCTTCAATTCTCTTCTTCAGCTTTGATGAAATTGTCCAGCATTCAATGCCATATAGGAGGACAGATATCATGTACCAGTTCAGTACTCTTTTCTTTGTTTCTAACTTCTTTTGGAATACATCTTTGGCTATCCCAATACATCTTTGGATCTCAGTGTTACATTTTTTGTCCTCTGTTAAAACACTTTCCAGATATTTAAATTATTTGCTTGTTAGATTTTGTATCTCTGATTTTGTCTTACACTCCTTTCTATTTTTGTATATCTGTTGAACTCATTTTCTATCTGTATGTAAGTGGTTTGCTGCCAGTATAGGTTCTTGATTATTCTAATTATCCTTCCCAAATATATCAAGGTTGCTGAGCAGTTCTAACAGATCTTTGTGGCGTACTTTATTGAATATCTTTGTGCAATCTATAAAGCACATCCTTCTGCATTTGTATTGCTCTTTCTAATAACATTCTAGGCATAAATATAGTATTCCTTTTCCAGTGTCTTTGACAAACCTGCACTATTCTTGTCCTATCTTCACTCTGATTCTGCTGTGCACTCTATTCATCAGAATTCAGATGATGAGTTTTGTTATATGGCTCATTAGGCTGATTCTTCAATAGAGTTCACATTCATCAGAATTCAGATGATGAGATTTGTTATATGGCTCATTAGGCTGATTCTTCAATAGAGTTCACATTCATTGGCACCTGGTTTCTTAGGCAGTGCTATGAAAATAGATCTACTTAGTTCTTCCAGTATATCACCACTGTTGTAGATTTAATTTATTATTTCTGTAATCTTGTTAGGGGCATAAGGCAAGGGTGTGTCTTCCTACTGGACTTATTCAACCTATACAGTGAGGCAATTTTAAGAGAACTGGAAATCCTACCAGTATTCATCATTGTCAGCCACAATCTTAACAACATAAGCAGATGACACAGTGTTGATAGTAGACATGGAAAGGAAATTACAAAACTTCCAACAGAAGGTAGCAAAGGAAAGAGAGAAGAAGGAACTAAGCATAAACTACGACAGAATGCATGGTTGTCAGCAAAAAATGAGCCTGAAATGCAATTTACAGGTCAGGGATATTAAATCGAGCAGGTGCGGAAATTTAAATATCTGGGAAGTGTTCTGACAAAGGACACTAACTGCAACGTTGAGATCTGAAGACATATTGGGATGGCTAGAGATGCATTCCAAAAGCTAGGCAGAGTATTACAAGACAGGAGGATTTTGTTGATAACAAAGAAAAGAGTATTGAACTGCTACATGATATCTGTCCTCCTTTATGGCAGTGAATATTGGTTGGTCTCCTCAAAAATGAAGAAGAGACTCAAAGTAACAGAGGTATAGTTCTACAGAAGGATGCTAAGGATACCATGGACCAAACATGAGAGCAATGAATGTAAACAAAAGGAAACTTATACTTCACATCAGGAAGAGGCAGCTGAAATTTCTGGGACACATAATGAGAAAGGAAGGCTTGGAAAATCTGATACTCACAGTGTGGTTAGAGGGAATGAGAAACAAGGGGAAGTAACATGTGACATACTTAGCAGCTTAAGCAAGTGGATGGCAGAACAGGGTTTGGGAGAAGTAGCAAAAAGACAAAACTTATTGAGAACTACAAGGAATAGGAGGAAGTGGAGAGCCATGATCACCTAAAGGTACACGGCACATAAAAGAAGGATCTTGTTTATGCCAAAATCATCTAAGGCTGCCAGCATCTCTATTATGATTTCATCTGACGCTGCCACTTTGGTTCTGTCCAATATGGCCAGTGCTGCTTCCACTTCAGTAAATATCACATTGTACTTGGTTCACATATTTTTATAATCTGGTAAATAAACATTGCTGTGGAATCTCAGTATTATACAGTAATAGCTGTGTCAACAGAAAAATCATCCTTTTGAAATATCATTTTTTTTTGCAGGCACAAATGTTAAACTTTGCCAAAGAGATATTTTTATCTTTCTAACAGTAATTAATACACACTGTATATACATGAATTACACTTAGCCCTATATATCTATTTAAGCTTATGAAGATGACCTTAAATGAAACAGCATTCACACAATTGATAAAAATTTGTAAGAGATGTTTTCAAT